AAAAACTGAACCAGTGGAGGGGGGGGGGGGGGAGGAGAAGAGGTTGAAGGCGAAGCCCGAAAAAATCTGATAAATGCATTTTGAAACGCATTTCGTTATAACAGCACAGGCAATCTGTTATTTCAATCCATGGCTTCCTAACATGATCGGCATCAAAGGGGTTTCTTATAAACGGTAAGGAAAAGTATTTGTTTAGATCTTTATGACGTTAGCACAACAGTGAGAAATGTATTCACATGCAAGAGATATGGTGGAAAACAATAAAACAATAAAAGCACTAAAAATACTTATTAAGATACTTAGCATACTTTCGTCTAAAATTATAAATTGTAGATGCTCTGACAAAATCGGCGAAGGACCGTTTTATGTCGCCGGCCACTGCCACTTGATCGTAACGCATGCTGAAAAAATACGGTGTACTAATAAATGGCTGCAGATTCATTTGACACTTTATTAACGTGCCTGCTTATTTACTATTAGGAATCATGATTTCTCTCACTTAGACATTTGGTAGAAGACCAAATGACTATGGTGTTTTTTCTATATAAAAAATTTAGACTGGATGATCAATTCTGCAGATTTGCTTCTGCGTCGCTAGGTCTGACATCCATCGTAAACTTAACCCAAATTTTGCTTTTGCTCAAAGATGCCCTATCGGAATTTTTGATAAATAGTTGTAGTGCAGAAGTAACGTAAATGTCCGAAAATCTCATTTCCATCACCTCAACATTTGTAGTGCAAAAAAGATTCCTAAAGAAGGTTTTTACAACACCAGATTGTTATTTTTACTTACATTTAGTCAAAGAATCGCAAATTACAACGCAGTATGCACATTCATAATGCAGATTTATCAAGAATCAAAAATTTTCTGACCTCCGAACAACATTTGATTTATACATCCACTCATTCATATAGTCTCAATTCGCAGCATTACTGTAAACGCAGTCTACCTGACTTTAAAGGGTAGCAGCGATAAATTAATGATACCTACTTTTGCGCACACTTTTGTCGACAGAGTACACCCTCGTTCCAGTAAAATTTAGCACATTTGTAACCACATAGAAGGCTGTGTACCTCAACTTAGAGTTACTTTTGAAGAATATATTAAATAACATATCACAAATATATTCAAGAGCACTTTGTCTTTTTCACCAATTATTACCTTCGGAAGATCAAATTCTGCAAAAACCGACGAAACAGCGAATATCGACCGTCCTCTCATTTCGATTATATGAAGTAAATCGGCCATGTGAGCATATATGCCTTAAAAGGAAGAAATTTCCTTGTTAGATAAACAAGTAGATTATTGTGCGCTCACCTGACGATTTGTTGAATGGCGCTTCTCGATGAACAAATGCCGCACATTCGCCTTCAGCGCACCATTTGTCCGAGTTCTCACGCAGATCCGGAGTTCGAATGTACTATATCATGGTCACAATCTAACTGACTGACAAAATTAGAATCACCTACACTTTCATTGATCAAATGATGAAGGATGGCGGCACTTGCTGAAGAATTAGCCGTAAATAGAGCCATGTTTTCTTCAAAGCGGAGGTTCCTAATAAGATTATGGATGCTCGGAAAATCACTTTATGCAATTAATCCCACTTGTAGATTGTGTCGGGCAAGTCAAAAGAAGCTTGGAAATCTTGTTCCGATGGTATTCGCACGTCCAGCTTTTTGCGAAAAATTTGTGGGATTTTCATCTAAGCTTCAAACTGAATTACCCTTTGACTCAACTGGCTTGGCGGCTGGAAGGCGGGGCTTCGTGACCTAATTAGGGCTAGGAGATGATCAGAGAACGCTTGCGCGAGAAAGACGCAGACTGCGTCGCGGGCGCGAGCGGCCATTAGTTCATAAAGCCCCGCCTTCCAGCTGCCAAGCCACTTAAATCAAAAGTTGAATCTATGGTAACACGTCTACCATAAGGTGTAGCTACTAATAACATAAGTGCTTTGTAAATATCCTTGACAGAAAAATTTGTAAAGGAAACTGCAAGGAATACCGATAATTTGGAAGGTGTTTTGTACTGATTATTTTAGAAATTTATCCTCGCAAGCGGAGAAGAAAACTGAATTTTGGTTACTGTTGCATGATAAAACCCAAAAATTGCCGCACAATTGGCAGAAATAAACTCGATGTTCGACAAGCATAGAAAAAAATTGTTTTACAAAGTTGAGATATATGGACCCTCGAAAGTTTGTTTCCCAAAAAGGAATAAAAACTTCGCCATCACGTTTCATGTTACAGAGCTCATACTTTTTGATCGTTAAAACTCTTTTGCATCAATGTCTTTTGCGCATTCTTTAGCAATCTATAGAGCAGGTTTCTACTTAGATTTACAATAAGGAACGGATATCCGCTCTTTCTTCTTTATTGTAGGATTACGGCTAAAAATCTGGAAAAGCTTCTAAGCCATTAAGCAATGCATTTTGCCTCATAAAAGAAGGCAATTCAAAAACCTAAACTAAGAGTTGCTGAAATCAAACATGAAGTTTGCTCATCACATCATGCTTCGAAGTTATTCCAGAAAACGGTGAATACTGCTTTTCCAAGGTTTTGCAAGAATGTGATTACACCACTGAGCTTAAAAAACTTGTAAAATGTTTTGTGATAAAATAGATAGATGCGTAGAAACTCTACTACACATTCTCCAGATTTTTCTATCTAAATGCGTCATATGCTGGAAGTTCCTACCGTAACCCTACAATGAAGGAAAAGCGGTAGCTGATAAAAAACTAATATCTAAATTGAAGCAAGCTCTACAGAATGGTGCCTAAAAATCGGCGAAAATATTGAAAAGAGAGATTTTACAACGGTCAAAAAGTGCGCATATTCTCTTGAAACAATCTGTATGTATACGTTGTCCCAAAGACCCGCCTGATTCGTAATCCAGGTAAAGTCTGGGGCAAAAATCGAAAAAAAATTACCACTTAATAATTGAATTTTGGGAGAAAAACCTTACGGACCTCAAACTTGATCATTATATACCAGACACATAATAGTATTCACATAATCCTTTATTGGATTTCTTCTCGCGCTTAAAAGCAAGAAAAATGAAAATAAAAAAAGGAAATCTCTGCCCTCAGCCCCTCCCACGTGTGCCTTTGTATACTAGGGCCTTAGAAGTATAACCTCAAAATTTTATGTTTGTATGCGCCCTGATAACCGAGAAATAATAAGTTTAATTTAAAAAAACTCAAAAGATGACATTCTTGCATTTTAGTGCCATTTTGATTTCTAAATTTTGAGCCGGAAAAAATCCACCAAGTCAATTTAGGGTACTACTATGTGTCTACTGCATAATAGGAAGTCCGTAGGAATTTCCGATGTCTAGGCTAGATGAGAATTTTTGATTTTTTGATCCAAATTTTACTGGATCACGACTCAGACGGATCTGTGGTGGTCATTTTGTAGGGCTTGCTTTCTATCGGATGATACCCTAAGTCTACTAGGAAAACAAAGCAGTTTGATTTACTTAGAAATACGGTTTACTTATAAGACAACCTGATAAATAACTGCAACTGTTTGTTTTTTAGACCCCTTTATGCCAGTTACCTGCCTAAACAGATATAGAGGAAATTGGTGTCCCATAAAGAACATGTATACATCATCAGTAGCATTGATAGGCTCCTTTGCTGTGAGGATACAAGTACAGTTGACCTAAATCAAGGCAAAATCAAGTCTTCAGAATTTCGTTTTTTCAAATTCTATTGGGCATAAGGAAAGCAAACCTCAAAATCTTCAATAGGCACACAAGCATCGCGGTCGATCATGCATGGATTCAGTGATAGTACGAATCGTCGTGTAATCCATAACACTGCAAGGTTTCGTGCGCATGATAGCAGCATTGTGATGTTATGATTATCATCTGCGTAGATATAAACTAATGATGCGTGAGTGTTTGGAAACAGCGGACCGAGAAGCGCATGTATGAGGAAGGAGCAGAAATAAAGCTAGAAAAAAGCTTGTGGTCCTCGTACATCACAAAAACCTCAGCAAGTGCTCCAAGTGATTCCAGATTTTCAAGAACTTACTAGAAATAATGTACAGCTTAGAAAAACTTAGGAGTGAAAGAGTATAACTTTCAATCTCATGATTTTTCTTTTGTTAAAATAATATCCAGGAGCCAACGAGCTTGCAGATAACTGTAGTGTATAATTAAATATTTAAGAGCGAAACAAAGCGCTGAAAGATGTTGGTAGAGGGTCGTAAAACACGGAATTTCCTGGTTGTCGTTAACGAAAATTCTATCAAACTGGTTCAGAGCCTTATGAAAATGGCAAAAGTAGGCAGGTTAGCAACGACCACGAGCCAAATAATCTTACTGCTTTTACTGAGCGCAGAGCGGACGATACTGAAGAATTTGTTAGGGTCATTTCAAAGGCACTTTAGATCTTAGTATTTGAACGGATTTATGTTATACCTGCTCAGAAACAATGTATCTAGAGGTCCAACTTATTCTAAGTGTGTTTTGTTATTGTCTGCGCCTTGTCTGCGCCGACATAACCCATCCGCTTCACCATTTTCAGTCTTTTTTTTTCATTTTCTAGCCCAAAGAGACAGCAAATATACTTATTATCTTTGGAGTATTCACTAGGTTTGACTACGTGAGAGCTCGCAAATTGTCCGTGAATAAAACTCCCATTTTTTGAAAATTTTGAAGATTGCATCGTTCCTCAATTTTTCAGCAAAGTCGTGGTTTTGATCTTTGCTTTTTATAATATGTAAATTTTAAGAATCTCATGAAAATTCGCGGTCATCTTGCAAATGATGCATCAAGCCTTTCCCTGAAGCTTCTGGCCACTCGTTCAACAACAAAGGCAAATGCAAACAAATTTCACACATCTCGGACACACCTTCACGAATGGCCAACGTAGGCTGAAAGCGATTTTTATGCCTATGTTTGCGTATTTCACTTTCCTTTGATTTTTTTAAACACCTACTTTTATTTTTTTGCGGAAAGAAATGATTGGCTCTTTTGCAGGTGTTTATGAAAAATGGATAGTCGGCCTCTGCTACTCGCTACCATTATCCATTTTGTGGTAAAAGCATGCCCTCCACAACAAGGAACGTGCTATTCAGGTGAAGACATTTTTTGTAGACTAGAAAAACAAAGGTTTGGCTGGCTTTTACTAATATCAATTAAGCCGTTCTGCCGTCCTTCAGTTGTTTCCATTTTTTGTGTCAGTAGCACAAGATTATTGACGGAAACAACAAACTCAGCCAACAGTGATTTAGCTACAGTCTAACTTGAAAACGCCATTTCATCTGTCGTAGTAATATTCAAAGATAGATGGGGTTTTGCTGAACGTACCATCTGGATTTCTCGTGAACACCAGAGCCTTCGAAACGTTATCGTCATCTAAAGAGAACATTTTTCGTGGATCGAAGCACATAAGCATTTTACTGATCACCCAGCATGATACTCTTTATTACGAAATGCATTAAATTTAGCATCGTTCGCATTCTAACAAAATTCTCCGAGGATCACTTCTGAAATCTGGCAAGCTACAGGCAACCACCTCATGCTTTCCTCTATTTTCTTTTCGTTTTCGGGGACGTTTTTCTCCCAACATTTTCTAAAGAGATGCGAATTGGAACAATTCTTTTCCCTCTTCTTCTTTTCTGATTATGGAAGTTCTGTTCTGGATCAATCATGATATTTTTCCACAATTTCTGCGCCTCTCTGTTTCCATTCTTTGGCACTCCCACATTTCCATGTTTTTGGAAATCATTACGTGCATCATGATGCATAATGTTCCGTGGTCCATGATCTATTAACTCCTACGCAACAAGTTTCGTAAAAGGGGGCGTGGCAGCAACAACGCGAATGAAAAAACCTTTACAAGGCTAGTTCAAACTTTTGAAGAGATTCAAAGAATGTTTCTGATTATACAAGTATAGACAAGTCCTGCACATTTTTAAAGTCCATGTAAGTAATTCCAAAAGATTTCTTGACTCATTCTTGGAAGGGGGAGGGGATCCGAGATTGTCTTGTCTCAGTAGCGATAACTTCTCTAGATTTTTGAGCTCCCCATAAATGGCCCTTTCTACTAGTAACGTGCACTACATGGCAAAAGTCTATATCAGCACTAGGTAAGAGGTTCTGCGAAAAGAATCTGGACATTGCATGCTGCTACTCATGTGATAAGAACGGCCACGGCCAGAAAACCCACGCATCGGTGGTTCAGTGGTAGAATGCTCGCCTGCCACGCGGGCGGCCCGGGTTCGATTCCCGGCCGATGCAGGTTTTGCTCTGCCATAAAACTGAGTTATCACAGACTGTAAATGATTGAATGGTGTATGCAAACCTGATCTTTATTTTCCTCACTTTAATGTTCTGGGCGCTTTACATTACTTTACACTCAGCATGAGTCTCGACTCACGACTTTTGGCAGATCTTCAAGGGGAGATTATTCTGAAGAAAAAAAACCAAGACAAGTCTTCGTCTACGGTTAATCTGTTGATCATGCACTATAGAGTTATTGTTCCTGCACCCACGAACTGATTCAGACGGAAATGTTAACATTTCAAAAACTCAAGTCACCCCTCAATCATTACGTATGAGCTACTTGATGAAACGGAAAGTTCTATATCATGTGCTCTCATCGTTAAGTTAACCAACTAATCATTCTAGAAAACACGTCATCAGGAAGATATGCGACAAAGTACCTTGAGTGGCCATTTTCAATCCTCAAGAATCGTAAAAAGGCAATGAAGGCAATTACCCTTACTAATTTTTCAGAAAAGATAGACAATGCATGAACGCCTCAAAAATTCGTCGCATTTGTGAAATCAGCTAAGTTGACGAAGATGTATAGAAAAACCACACTAGAGAAGACTTCATTCATATGCCTACTATCCTAATCTATTTTTCACATATGCCTCACCAGTACTCCATTTTGTTTACGAATTTCAACAATAGTGTGGATGTAATGAGCTGAATAGAGAGTCTCATCGCAACATTCCTGGATCTTAAATCTCCTTCTTATGTTACACATGAACTCAAAATCAATTTTGTTATAAAAAAATGATTATCAACTCTTCATGACATTTTGTTAGCTTTATTTTATAAACAGATACCAAAGATGAAAGCGGGAAATTGATACTGTAGATGTAGTTATTTTTGTCAGATCAAGTCACCAGATAGTTACAGTGAATTTCCTTTAGCATCACCAATTCGAGTTTTCCAGCTTACACTTTCTGAGTGCGTGAAAATTGTGCTGACATACCATCAGACTTTGGATTTCGATAAAGATGCCAAAAAGATTTAGCCCTTCTGTGTTATTTTCTCTATAATTTTGACTTCACAGAAACTTTCAATAAATTTGGAATTGGTAACAAAACTTGCACGAACATTAACAATCTGTAGCCTTTGTGTTCCCTATGAAAGATTTTAAGCGCAATGCGATAGATAGCAGAATTCAGGCTCGATGTATCAAAAGTGGACCCCGGGGACATTTAGTAATGCAAAACGCCGTGTTTCTACCCCCCCCCCCCTCCCCCACGCGTCGAGAAAGATGCAAAAAAAACATTTCTCGCCAGAGACCGGAAAAAATGGCAACTTTGATATTACTTCTTGATAGATCCTCGTAAAAAATTGGGACGCCTCAACTGACGCTAGAGTAAACCCGAGCTATAGCAGCACATCCCATGTATTTTAATTGTTCAAAGCAGAGGTTTTCGAACAAAATGTCTAACTGTGTGACCTCCTGCTTGGAGTAAAATCATTGTTATAAGAAAGTGAGCTTCAGTAATCTACGTTCTATTCTAGAAGACGTATCAATAAGTAATTAACCATGTATAGATCATTTATAGAATCGTGACGACGGATTTGACTGCGGTCTTTGCGCGCACAGGTGTAAAACACTCATACAAAAAGGTATTACTTCAACGCTCAGCTCAGTCACTTTCAGTTTATAGAATTATCATCATAAGAAAGCAGAAAAATCATTGGAGGTGATAAAAACTGAGAAATTGCGGTTTCCAGAAGGCGCGTGCGTGTCGCGACGGTCGCGCGATCATCACGATTTTTGGAATGCCCTATGCGTAATGTGCTAAATATAGCAATACAGTGATGCTGACAAACTTCCTGCACTTCCTGCCATATTTGCAACGTTGTTAAGTCCTAAAAGTAACTATTGCGACCTTTTATAGGCTCAGCAAGTCTCTCATCTCGATATGGTGGAAACATAGTGAATCGTCGTTGTGCCGACACGGCGAACAGAGATTGGTGTGCAGTGAGGTAAAACCAAATTTCTTTTGATTGATTCAAAAAATGAATAATTCAGCTACTATCCACACACTGATATCGCTAATTTCGGCTGCGCTAACGAGTTTACGCTCCCCTTTGGTAGCGCAACATGTGGTGATGGAGCTGGATCCATAAACCAGCAAGGATGTAGCATGGTAAGACCTTGCGAGATCTAATAATTGAGGAATGATTCAGTTTTTGGTCGCCGGCAGCATATGTGCGTAAACTGTGGCAATTTATGCTCTACGGCTGTTTTTTACGCGCGAGTCGCGAGCAAGTGGCCGGCACACACAAGCATAGCAGTTGTTTCAGCCCGAATGTTGTTTTTACCAAAGAGGCACCTGACCATCAAATCTACTACTGTACATGACAGATGCTCTACTATAGAGCTCACATTTTTCAAGGCGACTATTTTAGGCAAATACCCCGTCCGGGCCGTGTTATTTTTGTTGCTGCCGCGGTGGATCATGCAACCATCCAGCTATTTTTGCTCGTGAAGCTTCTCAGATTTCTGTCTACTCTCAAAGACGGATGATGTTCCTGAACCATTCGGAAAGAACTACGGCATTATTTTCGACTGTCCTTTTTGTATTCCTAATGAAGTTATTGTAGAATGCTGTACCCAAGAAAACACACAACTCCAAAGACATTCATTATTACGTAGATATTCTTTTCTTACCAAGCTCACATCAACAACAACTCAATATAACAATTCATCGACACTTTACTTACACTTGCCTTACGTGAGAAGATCGGCATTGTTCAACGAAAGAACGGACCACATTGAGTAATTTTTTTTGTATAATAAATAAAATGAGAAAAACAGGAACAGCGATATAAATTCTGCTGATAGTACAAACATGAACATCGTATCTGGATTACCCAATACACAAAGATCTCCAATATTTTTCAACATTTTGAGATTTTTTCTTTTTACATATACTACGCAATGAACAAAAGAAGAGCAATAGAGAAAATACGCGTATAGGGACGACAAAGGAACAATCCAATTGAACAAAAGAACGAATATAGACCCGAACTACATAGCATCATATTCATGTAACAACAAACCTTTAAAGGGTCGAGTACGATGACAAGACTACCTAAGCAATGCAGTACCCGTGAAGTATACGACAACGACAATAAATTATTTAACCAACCACTTCTCACTAAGCTACTAATATCACGCTCTTCGACTCTAACTGTACATACAAACAGATGGGTTTTAGCCCGCAGATATAGTTCATCTGCTGGTCAGAATGATAACTGCTGACTGAGATCATTCCACCTCACCTTCCTCCAGTTCGGAAATTGCAGCAGGTGGTGGAGGGGGAGGCGGTAACACAGATGGCGGCAACGGCGGTGGTGACAATGCCCTTGGAGGTTCCATTGCACGAACATACTGCGCCGAATTCTGAAAACAATTTGATTAGAAAGTCCATTATTCTACTCTCAACAACGAGTATCGGAATGCAAGTCTTGTGACATAGACTTCCACAAGCTTTTGAAAACTAGTAAAAGACGAAAGTATAGAAGCAACAAAATAGTCTCTTTATGAATCTCAGACTGGAGCGACATTCCCCCGTAATCCGGGTGGCATCCCGAGCAAATCGGGTTCAATCCGAATGGACCTGGATTCTGAGCAATTACGACACGACGCCAAGTTTTTTTTTCGAAAACCCCTCTCTTTTGCTTCTCGAATACGACGACTCCGACGGAACCTAAACTAACGACCATGACATCTACTTGGAACAAGAGCTTAGATGCCAAGAGCATCGGTTCGAGAGGCTAACTCTGCCAAAGCTAAGGTCGGTGCCAGACATCCGTCTCAACTATTCGCTAGTGGTTAACTGGACGGACCGGTAGCGAATGAATTGAGCCGAATGAACCGGATAAGACTGGCACCTGCCCAAGCTCACGGCCATAACCGGCGCTCTTTTAGTCCAACTCTGTTTGTTGGTTTTGAAACGACACAGACCTTTCCCTCTTCCCTTACAATAAACTCATACTAGTCCAAAATCGGATCCAACCGAGCAGAATTCGACTGCGTTCGGTATTCGATCCGGTGCGACCCATAACGTCAATGACACCAATCTCGCATTTTCAAAGTACTCCAAAGTGTAACAGTGCGCAGGATATCGCGCCGAGACCACAATCATATGTCCATTGAAAAGGCCCTTCATCGCCTCCAAAAATTCTAAAAGCTTACAGACCAAACACAAAAAACCGATACTTGAACTTTGACAAAGGCATGCCTTCCCCAGCACTGTGCAGCAGATGAATGCCATCAAAATCCAAGTCCGCGCTTCAGCGTTTTCTCTTGACCAGATATATTTTGATTCGAATGTTGAACAATGAAAGACAAAGGCGCAAAGTCACGGTAACAGTGGTACTGCAACTTCCAAACATTACACACCTACGACGACACAGAATTCCAAGATAATCCTTACAAGAGATCAAATATATGCGGTGGAAGAGAATGCACTGCTACGACAAGTGCAAAGAAGTGAAGAAGATAGTATATCAAAGCCGACAAACGAGAACGAATAAGTCCGGGATAAATTATCTTCTTCACTTCTGCACACTATCCATATCCAAATACACTAAAGAGGCTCAATAGCAAACTTGATGAAGAGACAGGATTGATCGGATCCAAGTGCAGATGCATAAAGACGCCTCAAAGAAGACCTACGTGTATGAACTCCAAAAGTAGAACCCACTAAAGAGGCTGGATGCGAAAACAAAAGAGAACTACCTTGAAGACAACCTCGACAAGATTAAAGCCATCTACTCCAAAGAAACTTATCAGCAATCTCGACCTCAGAGAGTCGTTCACTGATACTGTACCTTACATACCAGGAAGAATGCAGCGATAAAATACGGCTCACAAAACACAGATGAAGACAGTTTGTGCCGACAACCGAAGGCAGAGAGCCATACCGAAACAACAAGACGGGTAGGTTTTATTCACAAAAGTAAAACTTCATTTTAATGACTCCCGTTGATAAGAACGAGTTTCCTCTTACGAAATACAAGACTATCGCGAGGTATATTTGACATATGGCAAGCGTTGAGTTTCGGCTTCACCAAAACTCAACTCTACATGCAAGCAGAGCAAGAAACTCCGCTATCAATTGACTTGGAGATGATAACAACAATAAATGAGGTAAAAGCTGGGTACGTAATAGATGAACTTCGTGTTGTCTATGCGCGCTGAGTTTTGATAAAGCCGACTGTGAACCATTGATAGCACATGTGTTTTATGATGCATGAACTAAGAGATGGCACATGTGTGTGTGTTCTGATGTACGAGCTAAGACGTCGTCTAATTTGTGAAATTTGCTGCTTCGATGCAAGATCCGAACCTATGTACCCATTACTTTCGAGATCAAAGAGACCTGACATTACCCTGAATATATTACTAAGGCATATGCTTGAAAAGAAGAACTACAAAGATATTCTGCGTAACTTCATACCTTCAAAACATCGTTTTCTCTTCTGGAATGTGAACCATTTGCACTATTCAAACCATGAGGATGTGATGAAGAGTGGTGCACAGATGGTTGTACTTGAGTCATTGGTCTAGGCGGTTTCGATCCATTTCCAACATTCGTAGAGCCCATAGAAGACGGTGCTGATGACGGTGGCATTTCATGTCTTGGTCTCTTCTCACTGCAATGGACTAAATTATTGGAAAGAAAAGAGGACATGAATCATAAACACTCAGAATAGAAAAAAACTCACACTGGTGGGTGAGGAGCACCACCGGACATCCGCTCATGTTCCCGTTTCCGTCTTTCTCTCTCTTCTGGCCGCTCAACATGGCCATGCCTTTCGCGTTCTTCCCTCCGACGTCGCTCCTTCTCTCTTCTCCTCTCTTCCTCACGACGGCTGTGCTCATCCCGTGATTTGTGACCATTTTCATGTGGCTGAGTAGCTGAAAAAACCCGATTAAAAACGGAAAGTGAATATTCTTCTGACAGAATGACGCAGACCGCATCTTCCAGTGCAAGACCTTTGATTTAAAAAAAATCAGATTCGTCCCTTTCAATGAGCAGTTCAACATGAAAATACCAGTGAACGAAATTCTAAAAAAAAACCAACCCAAAGGCGATGGGGTAATCGGCTCTTGACCAGGCAATGCAAGGTTTGGCATTGATAAGTCTGGACGAGCTTGCGAAGTATCAGGTATAAAACTTCGTCGTGGTGCAGAACGTTCCGCAGAAGCTCGCTCACTGCTAGGCCCCATGGATTTCGTTCGCTCCTGAAAAATAAGTTCTGAAATTAACATTACAAAACCAAAAGGCAAAAGTTAGAAACCCACAAAGCCCTTACGGTAAACCGACTTTGCAAAGAATACACAATCGCGAGTGGTGGATAAAGACCGAATGAGCCACATTATCAAATCCCACATGCATTTCACACATGGTTTTGACATGTACTAAGTTTCAGATGTTAGGCGGATGACTGACTTTACAGACAAGATATCTTAGTGTGGATAATGTCAACAGATGGACAGACCACAAAACAAACTACATACCTTGTACTCTGAAAGATCCACTTTTTTATGGAAGGTTGGAGGTGGAGGAGGTGGGGGAAGAATTTCCTTTTCTTCAGCAGGACTCCTTGCAGGATTCGGACTCGGCGTTGACGGCTTCACTATTCCCTTTGCTACAAATCGTGTAAGTGCCAACCATTCCCTACATGACTTGTATATGCTGGCAAACTCTTGAGACATCTCTGCAAAAATAAGATTTCATGGCTGATTGTGAGAAAAGTTGGTGTAATATACCATTTAGAAGCTCACGCGTCATGTGCGGATCGAGTTTCTCGTACCATGCTTTTTCCCCAGGAGCAGGTGCAGGAATCTAAAAAATCTCTATGATCCCACGACAAAGAAGCAAGTATGCAGACAAAAGATATGATACGCCTGACAGCATCAGCATACAAAAAAGATAGGGCAAAAGGGCATAACTCAGGCTTCGGCTAAGGTTTTCACTAACTAGTTGATTAGATATGCCGCTGCATTGTTCACGTAACGCACTAATGCGCACAGCGGCAGAAAAATCACGCAACTTAGTTTGGGACATAGTCGGTAAGCTCAGAAAAATTACGCAACGCTCAGAAAAATTATCCAACTCAGCTAAGAACCTATTCGCTACCGTGCTTACAATCACTGCATAAACACACAAAACGGGAAAACCTGCTGAAGCCTGGTTCCAAAAATCCCTACAAGCATACAAAAACGATATGAGCCCCCCGAACTTTACAATCGCGAAACAATTTTTATTAACCGCTTTGATTATCCTTGAGTGGTTTACACAAAAGGTAAATGATTTTCTAGACTGCGCTATAGGCAACAGTGCATAAACCAATGCTGATATTTCATCTGATGTTTTAGCGCAAAAGCCACACAGTTTTATTTTGCTTCGCAGTTCCTACATCATACTAAATTCAGCAAAAGAGTCAAAAGGTATCACATGATGATTGGAACCGTGAAGCACTTTGTCGGAAACGCAACTAAATCAAAAGAACGAAAATATATTAGGGGCTCACAATAGACGTACCTCTGCTTCGCCTCATGTACGTTTGCCCAAATGCCCCGAGAAACTTGCCAGCGTCTGAGGGGGTAGGTGGGATCGTGAGCGGGCCGCGCCAAATCAACGTGAACTTTTTCGGACACGCGATGGCACTAGAACCCTCCCGCGCACGACCGTATCCACCACGACCACCCACAGTTCGCATTACAAAGCGCGCTCTAGGCAGAATGGGAACAAGGGTTGACCAGCACCTCGTATCCAGCGTATACGCACACGAGGTGTACACAAACACATGCTATCGCACTCGCATTGTATCGAATTGCCCAGTTTGTCACGCACAATCTGAAATTAAACACCATTCAGTCACATACAAAGAGCACATCTGACAAAGTCAAACATGACAGCCTCTGACTTTCATAATTTTTCCCTTTTGCAAGAAATGAAGCAAAAATAATGACGTCCTAGCTAAATCACAACCTTCACTGATAAAAAGATTGACGACACGTGTCAACTGTTGGCATATGTTAGTAATCTATAACCCAAAAAAAGCCAAATGACATTTTTGAAAGTTCAACAATATGCTGAGGAAGTGAACGTCACTGTTTTCTATCAAGAAAAACAAGGAAAAACAGCGTTTGCTCGAGAGGTTAACCAAAGGTGCTGCCAGATGTAAACAATTCTCATAAACTTGAATAGGAAGTAAGAAAAAAGAAGTCATTAGCTAAGTCATGAGGTCTGAATTGTAAACTCACACATCAGTGGCAAAGAAGTACGCACATTCGGTAAGCTTCTTGTTGTCTGAAAGAAAAGAAATTTGAACAGCTGATCCACTATCACGGAACGATGGGAGAAAACCATTACTATGGGCAATCTCGTGCATCGCCGCCAAAACGAATGGGTGTGGCATTTCGACCTTGAGATCAAAGGCTAAATACGAATCGTCAGAATTTTTCAACTACATTCTGACATACGACTGAACATCGAATGCAAACAGTGTTGCATACATCTATGAGAATTAGTGCTCGCAAATGCCAAAGATAGACTCACCGATGGTTTGGAGGATGACGTTCTCCAACTGGACAATCAGTTGTGCCGCTTCGATGTAATGCTATAATCCACTGATGAGTGGAAAGCAGAACAACGGCATTTTAACGGGGAAACAAAAGACAAACCGGGAGGATCTTTCTCCTTACCGTACACTATACCAAAATCGACGAAACTTACATTATGCGATGGTATATTTGGATGCCGCTCGAACTTCTTTGCCCACCAAACGCGGACGATGAGCTCCAGTTTCCTTGGACATTCCTCACTTTTTCCAGCCAGGAATAAGCAAGCTGCAGCGACATCCTAAAATGTGATATAGAGCAAAACTTAAATCGACCAACACAAAAACGGATACTCACCCTATAATCGAAGAATTTGAAGGAATGAAAGCAGAAGAACCTATGCATGTGCATTATGGCAGCACACATACATAACTGGGAACTGAAAAAAAACGTGATGGTTACAGACAGTAATCAAAAATGGAAACTGAATCCTCTTCAGAGCTATATATATCTAGCCCTAAGCCAAATCTGAGCGCTAATCCAAGAAAGATTTGATTATTTACACGATTAATTATTCTCCAGTTCTCAGGAAGATAAGGACGAGGATAGCGAAGCAGAAAGACTGAGTATCCAGGTACCAACTTCTCGCGCTATTGAGCTGCTTCAAAAAAAGGTGCGATGCGTAGAAAGGAAGTAGCAAACAGAAACATTACGAAGAAATAAGTGCCTCTCTTAGACGCAGCAAGAAATAAAAGCCTTGTTCTACGACCAGCTCAGTCCCTGTACAATAAATTAACAAGAAAATAAGTGAAGAGCATAAATGAACACTGCAGAAACCAAAAAAAACACAAAAAATGGTGACAATTTACGTTCATAAAGAATCTTTACTGAATCGATAAGCTACACATTTTCAAAAAAACTTACATCTTTCCCCGTTGATCGCGGACATTGTGGTTGAGCTGATCAACCATTATTTGAATGAAGCGAGTAGCTTGCTGTCGATACGTCAACTCCTTTTCAGGAGTGAAGCCATGTTCGCGAATGCTCGCAGTATTGGCGGCCTATAAAAATTCGGTTAAGAAATTGAAAATGAGGGGAAGAACAAGATTATAGCCTTGTGAAAAAGGTCGAGAATGAAATTGATCTGCAAACCTCTTCTTTTGTGAAATACCACTTGTGAATGCTGCCTTGTGTTCCATCTGAATTGCTGCTACCCGGAAGTGAACACATTGGATCCGCCAGACCAAACTAAAATAAATAAAGGTAACACTTCGACTGGCAATTCGCCAACAACACACGAGTTGTACATCGCAGGAATGAAAGGTCGAACAATCACATGACAATCTGCGATATCGAAAAACGCTGCTAGAGGAAGAGCCGGAAAAGGGGGGGGGCTTTATTGCTATAAGCCTACATCCCTAAAAGGAAGCAAGAGTTAAATTAGTTCCAATAAGCTCCTCACAGCGCTGGCCAAACACGATCCACTCACTCTTAGCACTTTAACCCAGCTGCTATCTCTTTAACTCATGACATTATTTATTGAGTATTCTTGCATGGAGCATGTACCACAAATCATTACAGGAGCGGAGACTCAACACAGCTTGAACTTCCAAAAAATTACCAACCAAATGATGCAAAAAAACGTCTCGTATAGAGGAGCTATACACTGAGACAATGATTGGAGAGATGCACGTTGCACTGCAACGTTTGTTCTCAACAAAATCAAAATTATCATAAAAGAAAAAGCTGAGATTAGAAATGCCACAACCTTAACAAGAGAATATCGCTGTCAAGCGAAAACGACTAGGCGGAATTTGGCCACGGTGCTTGCCCGGTTTTTGAACATCGGTGTGAACTACAAACAAGCAAAAAATTCTAAAATGCAGCGTAAAAGTACTGCTATGCAGGAAAAAGGCAAACGATTAGACCGAAACAACGCAATCACGGAAAGCAGAGAAAATAAGTGCACAAATAAGGTAAAAAGCTCAAAAACGCTATTAGAAGAAATGCTGACCTGTTCTAATCACAGAAAATTGCCCTGCCAACATGGATTTGACAATAAAACAGCCTAAACACGAAAAAAAAGCAAGAAAAACGATTACAAACGTGAAATTTCGTAAGGATACTCGCAACGCGGCCGCCCGTACGCGTCGCATCGCTTTCGTGCCAAAACTGCGTAGCTGCCCTCATAGTGTGCTTTCCCTCTACCATTGATCATAGACTCGGGCAGCCAAGAAGCAGGCTCTGAGCGCCTTCATGCGCGCGCCTGTTGTGTCGCGTTTCGGCGCCAGTTTAAAAGCGAATTATCTTCGCCTTCGTGCACTCGTCCACGGCGAACGTCTTAGAGCGCGAAATCTCGCTTAGGCCCTGCGAAGGGCGGGGTTGATCGGTTGGTGAGCCGGGCAGGCCGTGAAGAGGGCGGGGCGAAGTTGCGCGGGGGAAGTAAGGGTGCGAGAGAGGAGAGTTAGTAGTGTCCACAGCCGTCGGCAGCTTCTACATGTAGAAAGCGACATTTACGGCTTTTTCTCGAGCACAAATAGACACTGCTTTTCGTCTTACCCAACCTAACCCCAAGCTTTCACCAGGGTAGCGTCAAAACCAAGCACCCCTGGGTAAGGAGTTTAACCCTGCGGTGACGGACCTCGCGTTCCGTGCGTCAGTACCTGAGAAGACACTTCCAGCCCCTCATTTCGCCTACGGCTATGCATGAACGATGAGCGATGCGGGTTCCTTGCTGTGGACCACCTTGATGGGCGTGCTTTCCATCGTTACGGTGGTCGGAAATCTAGCTGTACTGCTGTCATACTATCTAGATAAGAATATTCGACATCCGTCCAACTATTTCATCTTCTCGCTGGCTGTCTCCGATCTGGTAAGTGCAAAAGATTAGCCACTCTTAGCCCTTGTAAATCGTATCCAAGCTATTTCTCATATCTTAAAGCACTCTGGAGCACTATCCACCTAGAATTCAACATACAAATATCTAGCTGTCTGTTAATTCGCGTAATCTTTTAAACTCTTATGTTTCAAAGTGCAGATCAGTCTCAAAGCATTCATCACTACTGTTATATTCTCGGATTATTATCAAAATCCTAGAAGTCACATGCTTCTATAGCACTATTATATAAGAAAACTCCGTAAGCTCAAATTT